AAGGCGTGTTCCTTCTGAGGTTTCAGGAGATGCTCTCTCCAGGACCCACTCTTGCCCACGCCCAGGAAACCCGCTCCGCTTGTACCAGAGCTGCAAAGCACTTACATAAAGTCGCAGAGTCGAGAGTCGTGGATCTGGCTCTACAGCTCTCCACCAAACACTCAGACAACTTCTGGCCCTAGGAATCTCCGCAGCTGTGGTTCTAAAGCCAGCGCTCCCTCCCCCCCTGCCAGCCCCCTCCGCCCTGCGGCATCAGCCATTGGCTAGGCTGGTGTTCACCAGCGGCCTGGGAACCAGGAAGGGGATTGGGCCATTAGCTTGTCACATCAACTGGGCTGGGAGCTGAGAGAACAGGCACAGGGATGGGCACTCAGGAGGGATGGGAACTGGGAACGGGAACTCTGTGTTTGCAAGCCTGATTCTCCACTCCCTACCTGGTGTTAGAAGTTACTTTGAGTGCCTGACTTGGAATACATGTTTTAGAAAACAATACTGAAATAACTGCAAAGCGGGGAATATGGGAACGTGTTTGAACGTCACTTATTTAAGTCAGCTATGGGAGAGAAGGCGCAGTTTTTCTCTTCATTAGGAAGGTATAGTACTGCATTTTGCTCTGTTCAGACCTGGCGCCAAAGGACTTTGAGGGGGAATCTCAAGCTACTGTCCCTTTGTTTTTGCTTGATATGTTTTGAGAGAAGGTCACACTATGTAGCCGAGGCTGGCCTCAAATTGGTGATCCCCTGGCTCAACCCCCTAGCACTGGGATAACCTCCTAGAGCCACCACGCCCATTTCACCCTAGTCAGGGCAAGTCTCATGTATATTTGGCTCCAGCCAAATAAATTGTTGGCCTAAATTACCTGTCTGGTAGCTTTGTCCTTGAGGAGTAAGAGGTAGGTGAAAGACAGAAGGGTTGGAAGAATCACTTGGTTGGACAGCAAGAGTTACCAGGTCTCCTCAGTGTCCTGTGCCCTGAGAAAACCTGGAGACATGCGGGTCATTTCATCTTCTCCTATGCTCACAGTTCTGCCTCCTTGTCATTGTCAACACACATTTGCCCCCAATATCTGTATTCCAATCCACTGGCTCATCCTAGGTCCAAACATCAGCCCGGAGGCCCAAAGGCCAAGGTGTCTCCCGGAATCGTGTCTAAATCAGTTTGTAGGAGAAGAGTAGAAAGAACTCTTGAGTACTTCTCTGTTCATCACCATTCCAGTCCTAAGTATTTTTGTCGTTGTTGTTCAGGAAGAGTGTGCTTGGGAAGTTTGGTAAAAAATTAAAATTGGCTCAGTTACGTTCTGTGTTACATATTCCAGGGAAGAATTTGAAAATAGAGAAGCTTAAAAATTGGATGCATGTGCCAGACGGCTTAGTGGGTAAAGGCACTTGCCAAACCTGTCCACCTGAGTTCCGCCCCTGAACCCAAATGGTGGAAGGAGAGAACTGCTCTCTAACTTCTATTCATGCTCACACACACACACAAACACGCACACACACACAATCACACACGCACATACACATACAAACACACACACAAATGTACACACACAAATAAATAATTTATTTTAATTAATACAAATTTTATACTATGTGAAATATAAAGATTTTATTATAGAAAGTATTAAAGTAAAATTAATTTAAATAATGTATGTTTTATTCCAATATCTGAAACATAATTAGATGCTTTCATGAAGGTGCTTCTCTATCCAATAGTTAGTGTGAATTTCCCTAGAGAAACTACTCTGGGCATGGTATTTTATACCTGTAACCCCAATATTTAGGCAGGAGGCAGGAGGATTGCTGAAATGTTCAAAGCTAACCTGTGCTGTATAATGAATTGCAGGCAGAGAAGATGATTGAGGGAGGGGAATAAGGATAGGACTTGTAGTGAATTCTAGTTCTTTTTGTTGTTGTCTTTTGAAATCCCAACACTTAGGAGATAGGGGCTGGAGGTTTACAGTCATCCTTGGCCAGCCTGGGATACCAAAGACCCTGGAAAACAAAACAAAACAAAGAGCATTTTGTTCACTTTCAGGTGTTTTTTTTTTTTTTGGTATGTCTTTGTGTGAGCATGCATGTGTTCATCTGGATGCATGTGTGTGCCAGTAAGTGTGCAGGTTAGAAGATCACCCCAAGTAATGTGCCTTAAGAAGTGGTGCCACACACCTTTTCCCCCCTTCTGAGTGTATGAGTGTGCTATGTGGTGTGTATGAGTGTTCACGTGTGTTATTAGGGTTTGTTTGTATGCACATGGCTGTAGAGGCCTAAAACTGGCCTTAGGTATCTTCCTCCATTACCTTCTCTTTATTTATCGAAGCAGGTTTCAGGCTGAACCAGAATAGTCTATTCAGGCAGCTTTTCCCAGGGATCCTGTCTCTTTCTTCTGAGCACTGGGATTAGAAGTAGTCACCAGGCCTTTCAGGCATTTTCTGTTTGCACCAGCAAGAACTTTATCCAAAGAGCCATCTTCTCAGCTATGCTTTTTTTTAAAGACCTCTAAGTCAGGTTTCCATGTTTGCCAGGCACGCCCTTTATCAACTGAGCTATCTTCCCAGGCAAATAAGTTTCTACTAATAAGTATTTTCCCTCACCGGTAAAGATCTGTGAGTTCAATCAAAAGAGGAGGGGGTGTTTGTAGCTCAGTGACAGAATGTTTGCCCCTACGGAACAGCACACTGTGTTCAATCCCCAGCACCAAAACAAAGCACCCCCCCAAAAAAAAACCTCTCAGTCAAACTTCACTCTTTAATGGCAGTTTGACAGTGCATAGTTTTAAAGCCCTGGTGTGATACCTCATTACCTCAGTAACTTTCCAAGAGATAGATAACGCATGCCTTATGCACAGACGCACGCTTTTGGATTGTAGTTGAGATTCCTGTTTGACAAGCCCAACAATATAACCCCAGTAGAACTCCTTTGTAATGAGTACCATGAAGATAGCCAAAGATAGGAGCAAGCTACCTTTCATATCAAAGGTATTTTCAAAGTTTAACATTTTGACCTAAGCAGTCTCATTCAGGCAGAGGTGTATTCAGACTGCTTTCCTTTCTGCCCTTTCTGTGAATTTAACACCCAAAGGAGAGTTCCTGCAGGTCCCCTAAAGTTGATGGTTTTCTTATCTATGTAAATCAGCCTGTCCCCTTTGCTGTCCCCTCAGGTGCTTCCAGGCAGGTTACAGTTTCTAATTCCTCTAACAGCTCCTAACCAAGTACTCTGCTATGTAGAAGGTCCGTGTGTGTTTATTGAACTAATGGTTATTTTATGGGTCTGTTCTTATAAGACAATAGTGAGGAAAAAGCTCTATAGGTCTCTTAGGAGCCTGGGAATCAATAACCCAAGTGTTTTTAGCTCTTACTCTCTGTCTCCAATTTTCTATCCATCACAGGTTTGTGATAAATAACTTCAAATCAATATCACACAAAATTTGAAAGCATTTCCTCCTGTCCTCCTTGAAGATCATAAAAGGATACAGTTTCTCTACCTTTCTGCATGTGTTTTTACATTTTTTATTGCTTTTCTCAACACCTTTTCAATATAGTTTACAGGTTGTGTGTTTGTTTTGTCCTACCTGATGAGTTAGATTTGGTTTTATCTTTTATTTTATTTTGTTATTAAACAATAAATTAATTAGCTCAGTTTTAGTCCCAGCATTTGGGAGGCAGAGACGGGTAAATCTGAGTTCAAGGTCAACCTGGTCTACAAAGAGAGTTCCAAGACAGGGTAACACAGAGAAAAACAAAACAAAATAAAATAAAAATAATGATAGTAAACCAATGAAGTTCTTGAAAGATCATGGCTCAGCAGGGTAAAGGTGTTTGCTACCAAGCTTGACAACCTGAGTTAAATACCTGGGACCCACATGGCAGAAGGAAAGGGGCCCACTGACTTCCATAGGCATGCCATAGCACGAACAACTGAACTCATACACATCACATTTATTTATTTATTTATTTTGCTTTTTTTGAGACATCTTTTTCTGTGTAGGCCTGCCTCTCAAACTTCAGAGTACTGGGATTAAAGGGGTGGGCCACCACCACTTGACAACAATAAATGAATAAATATAAAAATTAAAAACTGATAATAAAATTAGAAAATGGTATCTTTCTTTTTATACTTTATTATGATGTTATTTCATTATACAAACTTCATATAATAGAATCTTAAAAGAATCTTTGTTAGTTCAATATTAAATTATTTATCAAACTGATTTACTGTGTTGAGTTTAAAGTTATAAGTATGCATGTGTGTGTGTGTGTGAGTGTGTGTGTGTGATCCACCCTTACCCTTTACTAGGGATTGAACTTGAGGCTTTGAGAATAGCTGGACAAGCATTCTACTTTTGAACCACAGCTCCAGTCCCAATTTTGTCAACTAATTGTAAAATTAGTTGAAAATTTGTTTTCAAGAACTCATTATTTTCCTGGGTAGTAGTGGCACATACCTTTAATCCCAGCACTTGTGAGGTAGAGACAGGCTGATCTCTCAGTTCAAGGCCAGACTGGTGTACAGAGAGAGTTCTAGGACAGCCAGGACTACAGAGAAACCCTGTCTCAAAAAAACAAACAGAAACCCTCATTATTTTTAATAATTATGTCTTATATGAAAATTGTATTCTGTATATGATGCATTAGATCCTTAATTCAACATTTCTATTCAACAGTTCTGACATATAATTTTTATTTCAATGAAGTGTGGTTTTTAAAGACTTCTCAGGTAATTAAAATATTAATCATGGAGTAAATTGGTAGACCTGGAAAATTCTTTAAGTTTTTGAACCAGGAAGTGAAAATGTCAATAATCATTCTCATTGTTTACTGGGGATCGCTTTTCATGTTTGCAACTCAAAATAAAAACGTATGTAAGTCACAGATGCTAATTCTTTGATTAGGCACTTGTGAAATACTTTTCTAGCTGTAGAGGTTACCCAGAGTCTGAATTTCAGCTAAGCAGACCCGATGTTTCAAAAACACTTTGTCAAAAAGAAATTACTGAAACATATCTATAGCTATTTCAGATTTTGTTTTGAAAATAAGAATAAAAAGCAAAAGTTGATTGAAATATATTTGATAGGATTTGGGCATTTTAAACCAACATTAGCTTTCTATTGTATAGCTTCACTGGAAGTCACTGTCATCATTGGGTGTGTTAA